GCTGGGGGGTCTTGGGTGGGTGCTGGGGGTGTCGGGCAGGAGTTGGGTGAGTGCGGGGGGTGTCGGGGGTGTGCTGGCGGTGCCGGGGGGTCCCTGCCCCCTCCCGCCGGCGCTGATCGATCCCGGCTCAGCCGCGGCCGCATCGATCCCGGCTCGGCGGCGGCGGCGGCCCCGGGGGGGCCGGGGAAGGGGCTGGGGGGGGAGCGGGGCTCACCCCACCCTCCATGGGGACCCTCCACTCCCCCCACCACAGGGTGGGGTGCCCCCCAGAGCCCCCCGAGGGCGGGGGGGACACGGGGTCACCCCCGGTCTGTGCCCCCAGATCACGGAGTACCTGAACGCGCAGGAGGCGGCCAAGAGTGCCCGGGTGAGTGGGGGGGACCCCAGACCGGGGGGGATTGGGGAGCCCCCTTGGCTCGGGGTGTGCTGTAAGTGGTACCCCCAACTCGAGGGGTTATATGGGTGCAGCCCCCCAGTTTGGGGTGACTCTGCTGCATCCCCTCCATTTTGGGGTGGCCCTGACTGCAGCCCCCCCCATTTTTTTGGGTGATGGTTCTGCATCCTCCCATTTTGGGGATGACATAGACTGCAGCCTCCCCCCTTTGGGGGTGACCCTGACAGCAGCCCCTCCATTTTTGGGGTGACTCTGGCTGCAACTCCTACCTTGGGGTGGCCCCGATGCAGCCACCCCCCATTTTGGGAGTGAGCCCACAGCTCCCTTTTGGGGGTGACCCTGACTTCAGCCCCCCATTTTGGGACAGCCCCTGACTGCACCCCTGTATTTTGGGGATGACCCCGCTCCAGCCTCCCTCCCCCCAGGGTGACCCTAATTGCAGCCCCCCTCTTTTGGGGGTACCCCCACTGCAACCCCCTCATGTTTGGAGATGTCCCCGACTGCACCCCCCCGTGTTTGGGGGTGCCCCGCTGACACCGTGTTTGGGGGTTCCCCCCTGACCCCCGTGTTTGGGGGTGCCCCCTGAGCCCGTGTTTGGGCACCACCCAAGGTGCCCCCCTGACCCCGTGTTTGGGGTGCCCCCTGACCCGTGTTTGGGGTGCCCCCTGACCCCGTGTTTGGGGTGCCCCTGACCCCGTGTTTGGGGTGCCCCCTGACCCGTGTTTGGGGTGCCCCCTGACCCCGTGTTTGGGGTGCCCCTGACCCGTGTTTGGGGTGCCCCCTGACCCCGTGTTTGGGGTGTCCCTGACC